ATTCCTCCATTTCAAGATAATTACCAAATCTTCTCAAGTCTTCCTTTTCTTTTTAATTAAAAACAATTTTTTTGTTTTTCTTGACTATGTCTTCCTTTCTAATCGTCAGTGGTGTCACCCTCATCGAGGGCTTTGTTACACCGTGGGTGGACTTCTGAAACACTCTAAGTGGCATCTGTGTAGTCAGCGTCTTCTTTTGACAAATCCCTTCTACAGGCTGCTGACCACTTTATCTTGTAAGATGCCTTGGCACACAGTGCCTCAGAATCTCAAAAGCTCCTGTTGGAATCTTTGAACAAAAGTCTTTCAAATTGTAGATCAATTTCTATAGTCAATAAATTGGGTGAGGCAAATAGAGAGTTTCCTCCCTGCCTATAGGGAGCCAGCCACTTTTTCCATCCCCCTGGGGCACACTGTTATACATTCTATACCTGTGCGCCTCAGTGGGGCGGTTTTGCCCCCAGAAGACATTTAACAACGTCTGGAGACATTTTTGGTTACAGTTCAGGGACACTAATGGCCTGTCATGGGTAGAGGCTGGGGTCCTGCTGAACAACACCCTGAAGTGCACATGACAGTCCCACAACAGAGGACTGTGCAGCCCCAGATGCCCAGGACAACCCCAAATGTCAACAGTGCCAAGGTGGAGAAACCCTGCTCTAGCCCTTAAGAAAGAAGGAATAAGGACAATGCAGGCCCAAGACACTGCCCATGTACAAGGAACCTAAAACAAAGGGAAGGAATCTTAGGGACACCAGCCAGGGCCTTTATGGTTACTTAGTATTCCTGGCACCAGTGAGAAGGAAGGGTGGAAAACAAGATGTACAGAGGGTGCAAAAAAAAAGAAAAAAAAACACATTGTAAAAAAATATTAAAATTGTAATACTCAAGTCACGTTTGACTTCTGCAATTATAAGACATACAAGATACAATAGATAACAAATGTTACCAGTATCTTTTGAGTATTACGATTTTAATACAGTTTTTTTCTTTTCTTAAAGTGTGTGTGCATTTTTTGGCTTGTATTTGCATCTGTAAAGAAACTGTCATTTCTGTCCCAATGAATAATAAAGTTATAAACACTTGTGTTTTGGTAAACAAAAGGGCTATTACTAGGCTTGTGGGCAACCCTGTCTGGGCAACACTCATAGAGGAAGTGGCAGAATAAACCTGAGCTGGCTTCGATCTGTGACTGTTTCCAGCTTCCTAGATTGGAAAGGGCAAAACTACTTAGCAGTTCTCAGCTCCACACTACGACGGGAGGAGTAAGTACAACCTTAACCCCTTAATGCCACGGAGACTTGCCATGTGAACCTATTCCATCCCTCTGCACACTTGTCACTTCAGCTACCATGGCATATTATTTCTTGAGAGCATATCCCTGCCTGTATACCTTTACTTATACATCTGCTTGTCTACTTCTGTGCTGCTTTACCTGAACCTAAGGAATCTCTACTTCTGTGCTGCTTTACCTGAACCTAAGCCATCCCTTCTTTGGAAGGTCATTCCAAAGGTCATCTCCTATAAACACTCTGCCCATACTATTTAGTTAGCATTTCCTACACATTATCTTTGGTCCTAATATTAATATTTAACACATATCCTGTCTCCTCAATTAAAAATGTAATTTCCTCTATGTCAAGAACCCTGTTGCAAACTCATAGGTCCCACTGACTTGTTTGTGTACTTTGCATAAAGCAAGGCTACCCATCACCTCCTCTTGGAGTTACTGGTAATAAGTTCTGCCTGTGTCACTAGCTAGTACTTACTGAGTATTTATTATGTGTTAGGAGCTGTCCTGAACATGTAATATCTATTATCTTACTTGATAGTACTATTCTCCCACTTTGCAGAAAAGGAAATGGAAGTGGAGAGTGAGGAAGAAACTTGTTATCATAGCAGAAGGCAAGAGGGCTAGGGGCAAGAGAGGGCTGAACTTGTCCTTTCATAAAGAATTCATTCTCTAGGTAATGCCATGGCATTAATCGATTTATGAGAGTGGTGTCCCTATGACCTAAAACTACTTGGCAGTTATCAGCTCCACACTTCCCACTGGGTCCCACCTCTGCATTGGGGATCAAGTTTCCAATATACTGTATGAACTTTGGCGAACATATTGAAACCACAACACTTACGAGGCTATCTTAACCTCGTTGCCAAATACATGTTCAGAAAAAAAAAGTACTGTGATTTCTGGCAGCTACTATCTGGCAGAACCTACAGAGAACTAACTGAATAGGAATCACGTGAAGGATATTCTCCAACAATCATCTCTTGCAAATTTGCAGTCTAAAAATGCTTTGGAACCACAGGCTGACTAGAAGGTGCAATTCTCCATTAATAGGGCTGCTCAAACCAAATGGACAGGACAGTTCTAATCCATCTGCAGGACCAAAAGAGACCTGAGAAGGTAGAGATAGGCTGAGTGCCAGCGCTGTAACCTGATTGCTGGGTGACTTGGGAACACTGGGTATTGCCTCTAAGTTCCTTGTCTGCAAAATGAAGCCACTAGTAACTATTTCATCAGGTTCCCAGGAAGTGTAAAGAGGGTAGAGGATAGAAAATGCTATTCCTTCACCACAGTAACTTCTCAGGAAATGCTGGCTCTCCATTTGACCTTGGATAGGGACCAAAATTAAGCCCTACTGGGCATTTCTCCTTCCTTACACCCCTTGTGAATACATACCTGGAGGCAGGACTCTTTTATTCTTTCACATTAGAGATAATTTTATTTGACCATTTTACAGGCTTAAGGTATTTAAAAAATTAGTAAAATCATGTCAGTATATTGTTGCAAAGGAACCGAAATATGTTCTTATGATTACTGTTTAATACTGTTTATAATTGTTGGTGGATAATTTAGCAAGGGACGTTCCCTGGGTTTTACAATTTGACTCTGTTCTAACTAAACTGTGGCACCGACTAAATACCTCCAAGGCTCTGAGGCTGCATTGGCTCTCCACAACCCAAAAGGATGTGTATCCTTCAGATGCCTTAAAATGGCCTCATTCTCCTTGTGCTGCACTGTCCTCTCCTGTCCCCTCCTAGAACCTAACCCAGCTTCCAAGGAGCCTGTCTCTTCCCCATGGTCTAGTCATCTCCTTCCAGTGACACCACAGGCTGACTGTGGACCTGTTAGGATTTATTCCATGCTTAAATGACATGAGATTAGTCGGACATAGTTCTAACCTCTTCCATAAAAGATGAACTTCCTGAAGGTAAGGTGTTTTGTTCATTATTGTATCTGCCATAGCACACGATGCCTTGTACATGGCCTTAAGAGCTAACATTTACTGGGAGCTGCTGATGCCAGGCACTATTTTATAATAAATGCCTTAACACAACCATATGTACCTACAGAACATGTACAATTAATTTTGGTAACAACCTATGGAATGGGTACAATTAATTATTCTCCCCACCTCACAGAAGAAACTGAGGCACAAAGAGGTTAAGCTGCCCAAGGTTATGCCACTACAAAGTGAGAGAATGTGGGTTTAAGCCTAAGCAGTCTGGGTGTATAACCCACAATCTTAACCCCTGTGCTACACACTGTCAACATTCAATCAGTTACATTAGCTGATTTATGTGAAAGAGCGTAAAAAACCTATGAAAGGCTATACGTCACAATAAAACAACAAATCCAAGCAAAATAGGTCTCTGGTATCTCTCAAGGGAAGGCAGTAGTGCTTGAAGGCTAAGGTTAGAATCTGATAAGAGTTTGAATACCAGCAGTAATACTTCCTAACTTTCGCAAGTTAATCTTTCTCAGCATCAGCCTATAAATATGCAAAATTAACTACCTGTTCAGAATTGAGATGACTCAAATAAAACACCAAGAAAGAACATGCTTGCCAGAGTATGTGGTCAATAAATGCCGGCCCTAGAACAAATTGTAAAGCCAAGAAAACTTTCTTTGCTAAATCACCAACCAAGAATTATAAACAGTATTAAAAAGTAGTCATAAGAACATATTTCTGTTTCATTAAAACAATATACTGACATGACTTTACTAATTTTCTTAACACCTCAAGCCTGTAAAACTGTCAAATAACATTAATCATTATTAATTATGTCTGATATAAGACAAAAATAAGTCCTGCCTGGGGGCATAAAACTGAAGTAGCTATTCAAAAGCCTTCAACTCATTAAAGCAAATGCAAAGGAAATATAAAAAGTAAATGTCAGCAGCGGGAAAATTCCAAAGAATTGCATGGACAAACACAAGAGTATCTAAATGTGTGCGGGGTCTGGAAAGTATGCCATAGGATGTTTAATGTGGCAATGACAAGCCTGACACAGGGCGGTTGAAGAATCAACAGCTGTGTCGGTCCAGAGATCACAATTAAGTATGACAGGAGGATGGTTTCAGCTCAAGTTCATGGTTTCACCCTAGGTGGTGGTGAGAACATCCAGGGAAGATGTTCAGGCTCTGGCCATGCGTTAAGGATAGGAGGGAATTCTCTTCCTGGCCTATAACTTCGGAACAAATCTAAAGTCCCTTCTTACTTTCGAGTGGGGCCATGGAAGGAAGGGCAAGGAGACACTCTGCTCAGAATGAGACTAGACCTACATTTTAACAATCTTTTGTGGGGGGAGGTAAGAGACCGGAGAGGTGACACCTATGCACTGATGAGATCGAAGACTTGGTGGCTTTCAAGAGCCAATGGCCCGCAAAGGACAACTTGTCGACGCGACTCTTAGATTCCATGCAAGGTGCCTGCTTCTCCAAACCCTGTAGACATGCCCCCAGGTCCCTTCCCACAAGCTCCTGCCCCAGTCCTCCCTAAAGAAGAAAGGGCCAGCCGCTCCGGAGGCCTGCAGGGAGAATCCGGTCATGGCTGGTAAAGGGTCTGAGGGTCCGGGCCCGGTGGAGGGATGGAGGTGCGGGCCCAGGACGTGGAGCGGGGCTCACGCTGGCGCCCCAGGTCTGTCAGAAGGCCCTGCCGGCGGCCAAGTTTGCGCCGCATCCCTGGGACGCCAGCCCCGAAAGCACTCACCAGACAGCTGCCGCGCAGCAGCTTAACCGCCAATCCCGCCATTGCTGCTGCAAGCCGAGAAGCTACTGTCGCCTCCGTACCCCTAGGCGGCAATACAGAGCCTGGGGGCGGGCAGAGCCAGGGCCTGCCCCGCCCGCCCCGCCCTGCAGCCCGGCCCCGCACGCCCCGCCCCGCCCTGCAGCCTGGCCCCGCACGCCCCGCCCCGCACACACCCTTCAGAGACTCCACCCCCTCAGGCTTACGGAGCACCAAGAGAGACATACAGCCCCCTCCGTTGCCTTCGCCTTACGTCCTGCTCACGCGAGACTTGGGGAGGCATGGGGGCGGGGAGGGACCGAGAGACACAACAAACATGGCGGCGGCCGAGGCTGCGACAGTGACGAAGACCGTGGCAGCGGCGACCGCAACGGCGTTGAATAAGACGGTGGGGTTTACTCCGTTTGGTTGTCAGGAGGTAAATAAGAGGCTGCTGGGTCGGAGTGCGGCGACGCGGCTGAGAGGGTGGATAGGGAGTGGCTGGAGGCGAGAGCCTGGTTTGCGGCGGGCCGGCTGACCCCGCCCGAGATTCAGTTTTTGCAGAGGGACGGGCGTGGTGGGTCGGTGGGCAGGGTGACGACCCAGGACCTTCCTAGCCCGAGTGCGGAGGGCTGCGGTTCCTATGGTCGCGAGGACCACGAGGGACCCGCGCCTGAGTTGTTGGCGCTGTCGTACAGGGGCTCAGAGACGCCAGGGTGAGGGGACTGATGCACCTGGCTCTGACAGGTGGTTGTGCGGGCTCGCCCCGAGTTTTGCGTCTTCACTAGTTCCCAGGGACTGGGGATCAGCCCAGGCGCGCATCTTCCAGATGTTCCACATCCAGGCGAGGATGTCGCTCCGAATCTTGGTGAAGATGCTACCCCGACGCCGACCCCAGGCTGCTCCTTGGGAGAAGGACTTTAAAAACCTTTGTCTTTTATCTAATAGATCTGCTGGATCTGTTTCTACTACGCGTGCACTTTAATTTTGAGAACATGTGAGATTTAGGGAGGACACTACAGCAAAGTTCATTCAGAATTTAGGTCTCCTGGTAAACTGTCTGGAGTATCAGTAGACAAGCCAAGCATCGTTCACAACTGGATCCAAGCTAACAGGGTTTTCTAATATTAATCACGTGGCCTATTTAATGTCCCCTTAATGTGTTGACCAGAAACAGAAGAGGGGTGACAAGTGGGAAAAGAAGTAAAGGCATCTTTAATTGTGAGATCTCAGGAAATTCA